GTGATTAGAACTCGGATTAATTTAATTTTACACTCGTTTTAATGGTAACATTTTGTGGTAAAAAAAGCCCGTCAGGGATTGTTATTAAGTGCCTTACTTTATTAGTTATGCCTCTTTATTCGCTAACATTTTCTATTTTTACACATAACTTGATTTTTAAGCAGTTTTTTCGAGTTTTCTCGGTAAATATGTAAAATTAAAAAAAAAATTCCTGACGGGCTAGAAATCGTACGCAAATTTACTAAATAGCTGTGTTGATGAATCGCAACTAAGCAACGTCGATTGCGTACACAAGATTTACGCAAAATATTTTGCGTACGCAGCTTGATGAATCTACCCCCTGCTAAGTTAGTCTATTTTGTATATATCCAACGAGCCTATATACCTATTGGTATATAGAACACCACTAGAAAAATAAATAAAACAATCAAACAATAATAATCTATATAAACCAATTATCATAAATATTAGAGAACCTAGTACGGCATAATATCGAGACCAAATTGCTAGGTACGACATACAAGGTCTGTTCTCCCATCGCAATGGAAAACAAAAAAAAACACGAGGAATGAACAGCTGTTCGTGTGTCGGCAGCGATAAAGGTGAAACTGAAGAAGATTACGACGAAGAGTCAATACCTCAACCGAGAAATGATGTTTATAGTCATGCATGATATTGATGTTATTATAGAGGTGAAAGACGGGTTATATGAGTAATATGTTTTAATCGGCAATATTCAACTTTATGCAGCTCCGGCGAGATAATTAGGTAGATTTGAACTAGAGTCGGTGTTTCCCCCTTCTCCGTTATATCGATCTATTGTCTACTTCTGATATAATCCTTATTTGTAACACGTTTAGGTTTCATGTTGCACCTAGACTATTGCTAGAAGCTAGTCTAGAGATAGGGCGGGTAAAGCTAGATTTAAAGCTAGCGGAGTATTATAACCTATTCTCGTGCTAAAACATGTAGGGTTAGAAGCTGAGCGAATATAACTTGTAATTAAAGCTAATGAAGCTACTCTCTGCACCATGCTACAGAATAACAGGGGATGACTAATCACTGAATTACTTATGAACTGAACACAAGCTCCTAACAGCTAAGTCATTAAATAACCCAGACTTTGACCCTAGACCCTCTAACATTGACTTAATGTATTTTCATATAGGGTCTGCGTTATTGGGGATCGATTCACAGTAGACGTCAGTACTGTTCTTCACGTTGCTACGCTACTGTTCTACCGTTATATTATAGATATCGTTTATCACTGGGATGATATATATTTTTTGATAATTAGGCCTATTGAACTTTAACAAATATTATAATGATTTCTGCGAGTGCGTTTGACACAATGATGCAAGTCATACATCTGGCCTAGGAGATGCGAGACACCAGCTAAGTCCTTTCCATAGAAGAAAGTCGGTTAATCCACATAACACATAGTCACTATACTTGTTTACCCGATGTGACCACAAAACAAGATGTGTTGGCCCAGCGAAACACGTTAGCTCTTCCCAAGTACCGCTAACTGTCAACGTTTACAGGATTAAGACAGCGATAGAACATCGATGGCAGTAGTCAAGTTCGTTGCAATGCTTCTCCTCGGCGTAGCTTCAGTATCAGTGCGGACGCAGTTTCTGCAGCAACCGCGCGCCACGGAGGCAGCTGAAGGTAGCAACGTTACGCTGCACTGTAAGCTTAACCTTAGCTATAATAGTAATGGACAAGGTCCAGTGACCGCTCAATGGTATCGTGATAGCCATGCGCTATATATCACTAAAGAATTAAGATACTCGTACATTGATGACAACATGTACAACACAGGTGACTTCACCATGCATATTTCTAATATACAAGTTGATCACGATAGTGCAGAGTTCTACTGTGAGTGGCAGCGAGATCAGCTGAAACCGGAAGATAGACCTGTATCTCACACAGCTACACTAACAGCGCTTGTGCCACCACAGTCGGTTGTCATGTCTTTGATTGGCAGCTCTTCATCACCGGATGGAACGCTACAGTTTTTGTGTGTATCGGACAGCAGTAACCCAGCAGGTACCATCACCTGGTGGCTGGACAACGAAGATATCAGCGTTGATTCTAGTCACATCCACAAACCGGGTTCAAGAAATAAGACATCCTCAACAACGAGTATCGTGAATCACACGTTTTCATCGGATGATAATAACAAGCATCTTTTTTGTCATGTCTTTACCCACGATGACTTAGCTGTAGAGGTAATAAACAATACCCTATACTTGAGAGACACTGTGACCATCAGCAGCTATAACAACCCTACTGATGATGGCGTAATTATACAGGAAGCCGACAACCTGACGTTAACGTGTAATGCTGATGGCTATCCAGAACCATCTTACACGTGGTTGCACGACGACCAGGGAATACAAGCTGCAGGGGACGAGATGGCGATAGAGCGAGTCGAGTTTAAAGACAAGGGTTTCTATTCATGCCAGGCGATTAGTGTGTTTGGGGAATACATGTCGTGTAACAAGATGAATGTGACCGTGATCGTGCCAGCAGCGTACGTCACCATGGCAATAGACGGCAATGCTGTAGCAGACACAGAAATAATGCATGCAGGACCGCATGAAGCTAGCTGCACTACAGACAAAAGCTTCCCGGGAGGAACAGTAACATGGAAACTTGGTGATACATCTGTAGACGAAGCTACTACTTCACATGTCAGTGAAGTTGATGGAACTATAACGACGTACAGCACACTGATGCGTACATTTACCGCCGATGATCACGATAAAATACTTGCCTGTCATGTTGACATCCACGAATCACTCCAGTCACTGTCGGTCGAGGTGCGGCTTATCGTGCAGTACATGGGAGAAGTAAGAGTGAGGGGTGACAATCAGGAAGGCGTAATAACGCTTACCCACGGTAGCACACTATGGTTGCTCTGTACTGCTGATGGAAATCCACCACCAAGTTATTCATGGCTTCACAACGGAACCTTAATAACTGACGAGGGTAACAGCACCTATGAAAAAGATTCGGTTACCTATATAGATACTGGCGACTACGTCTGCGCAGCTAGCAACATTGTAGGGATTATCAAATCCACAAACACAATGTCGCTGAACGTTGCTACTCCAGAGAAAAGACCTGTTTAGATTCAACATGACGTATGTGTCTATCAGCGTAATTAGGTTCGTCAGCGAGTCCTGGTTGGTACAACGCTTGTGGGCCTTCAGGTGTATCCACAGCTGTAGCACTTACGCCAGTGCAATCTTTGGCGCTTCCCATTAACGCATTGACTCGTTGTAAAACAGATTTCTTTATTATGTAGAAGCCGATGATAATGACGATGATTAAGATGGCCAGGCTACCGATGATCAGTCCCACGATGAGACCACTGTTACAATTTTACCTCTCGTAAACTATGCACTTATACGAGAGTAGGCCTATTAAGCGAATGGTCTTTGGACATTAATATTTTTATGTATTTGTATTTATTGATTTATACACACACACACTCCACACTGTGTGTGTGTGTGTGTGTGTGTGTGTGTGTGTGTGTGTGTGTGTGTGTGTGTGTGTGTGTGTGTGTGTGTGTGTGTGTGTGTGTGTGTGTGTGTGTGTGTGTGTG